TCCACAGTTGTCTTTGCCTGACAGCCCTGGGGAGCATAGCGAGTCCACAAAGCGCAGGTAGATGAGAAAGTGAAGCAGAATGAGAAGGGTTGTGGGAGACCAGAGAGGAGAAGAGCAATCTGTAGGTTGTTCCTAGGAATATTCCAGTACAGTGAACCCTCGTTTATCGCGGTTAATCGGTTCTAGACCCTACCGTGATAAATGAAATTCCGTGAAGTAGGATTACTTATTTGTAAATCAAATATTTTCGTAGTTAGAGCATAGAGGACATGAAAAAACACCCTTTAGTCACCATTACACTCGTATTACCCAATTTATTAAACGAAAAAGGGAAAATACAGTAAAACATTTTGGACGTTACAATTATCATTTATTATTTATTATATTATTTATGGCATCAAGCGTGTACAGTATGAGCCAATCAGTGGCAGGAATGACAGAGCATGCGCTGTTACGCAAAAACCGCGATAGAGTGAAGCCGCGGAAGTCGAAGCGCGAAGTGGCGAGGGTTCACTGTACTTCATATGGAGATGACACTCCTGGCTCAGCTCAATCGAATTGACCTCTCTAACCCTCAGGGTGGGCTTGCTTTCTTTCTTTCTTTCTTTTCAGTTTGGGAATCCTCAGTCACCTCATTTGTGTGCTGAGTGTATTAGTCAGTGTTCAACCTGAGAGAAACAGAACAGTAAGAAAGACAAAGTGAAAGCTATTGCTGCCAAGCGGATGCTAAGTCATAGTAACCCTGTGGGAAAGAGTAGAGCCGTCTCATAGGATTTCCAAGGCTGTTCATCTTAATGGAAACAGATGGTCTCATCTTTCTCTGCCAGAGCATCTGATCGGGTTTGAACCATTGACCTTTCAGCTGAACTGGAGTGTAGAATCGCCTTGTCATGCTATAACTTATCTCTATCTCTATCTTATCACCTTATCTGTCATTACTGTTAAGTGCCTTTGAGTCAGTGTTGACTCATAGCAACATTAAGTACAACAGGTCAAAACACGGCCTGTCTCGCCATCCTCCCGTGCAGGGAAATTGTTACGTTGGAGCCCATCATTCGTAAGTTGTTCCAGCTACTGCAGCCATCCATCTTGTTGAGGGTCTTCCTCTGGTTTTCGGACCCTCTATTTCACCAAGTCTGATGGCCTCGAGGGACTGCGCTCTTCCCACATGCCCAGAGCAGTGGGCGGTCTTCACTTCAGAGGAGTAGTCTGGCAGATGATTGCACAGCAGATTCGTTTGTTCTGACAGTCCATGGCATGATTTACATTCCTTACGGCGTCCTGATCCAAAGGCATCAATTCTTCTTTGGTCCTCCTCAGTCCTTGTCTGGCTTTCTGCATGAGGTAACTGGGCTTAGCATGGTCTCGGTTAGGCACACCTTAGTCCTCCGAGTGAAACCTTTGCTGTAGAACACTTCACAGGTGTCTTTTCCAGTAGATTTGCTCCATACAATCTGTTGTTTGATTTCTTGCCTGCTGTTTCCAGGGGTGCTGACTGTGGAGCCAAGTAAAAGGAAACGCTAGGCCTTGTAGGCTCTGTACTTTCAATTGCCTGCCAAGCAAAAGCCAAACAATGAATCAGGAAGCCCAAAGAAGAAAGGATGCATTTGAATCACAGTGTTGGCCAAGAATATGGCATATACCATGGGCTGCCAGAGGAAACACCAACTCTATCTTGGCAGAAGGACGACTCCGAATGCTCTTAGAAGTGTCCCAGAGTTGGAGATGCTTAACCCATGCTGGGCCTCGTTCCCTGACTCTATCTTCTCTTCTGCTTATTTCCCTTGCAGCAGTCAGACCCTTAGACTTAGGTGCATAACAAAGGACGCCTTTTTCTCTGTGGTTAAACTAAAGATAAGGAAAGAATGTCTTTAAGAACTTCTCTCAGGAAGTGTTTTAAGATAACTACTTTATAGCCACTCTGTGAAAACCTGCTTCAAACCAAAAACACTGCACCTAAGAAATCCTGACTTATCCCCAAAGTCACTGCCACCCAGTCTATTCTAACTCATCGCGACCCAATAGGGCCAGGCAGAACTGGGCCTGTGGGTTTCTGAGGCTCTACATCTTTACCTGAGCAGAGAGCTTCATCTGTCTCCTGCCGAGTGTATGGTAGGTTTGAACCTCAGACCTTAAGGTTAGGAACCCAACTTATGGCCACTATGCCACCAGAGCTCCCGAAAAACCTACTCTTAGTAATGCATTTGTTACACCTCCAGCTTCCTTAATCTTGTAACTTCCTATTTAGAATGTTGACCCTTTCATTCTTGGTTCTACTTCACAAATACGCCTCTGTTACTTAAGTATTTTGTACTGTTTGAGTTCATGTGGTGAGATCTCTTTCCTCTTATTTTAGCCGAGTGCTCATTCTTACTTAGTGACAGAAACAGGACTGGTTCTTCATGTCATGCACTTTGGATGTGTTATCAGGAAGGACTGGTCTCCAGAGAAGGACAGCATGCTTGGTAAAGTGGAGGGTCAGAGAAAAAGAGGAAGACCCTCAACAAGATGGATTGGCACAGTGGGTATAACAACGGGCTCAAAAGTAGCAACAATTATGAGGCTGGTGCCGGACTGGACGGTGGTTTGCTCTGGGAGCTGGAACTGACTCCACAGTATCTAACAACAACACCGCCCGGGGCAGTTCTACTCTGCACACATAGGCGTTTCCCATGTCACAGCCAGCTGCACAACGCCTAACAACAAGAACAACAACATAGCCTAGCCTAATTGACAGAGACAGCCGATCCTCATGGTTAGGATGGGTACCTTGTCTGCACAGGTGCTATGCAAGGTAGATGGGAAGCCCTTGGCACAGACAGACTTGTGGAGGAGCACTGTTTGCTGGTCTGGAGCATGTGTATAGAGGGGAAGAGGAGGACATATGTGCGGGGAGGTCGGGGAGCTGCATAGTGGTGAGAAGTGTATGAGCCCAACTGAGCGAACAGGGGTTGGGGTCAAATAATCCGCCATTGGAGACCCCGTGCAGCACAGTTCTACTCCAACGCACGTGGAGTTGCCATGAGCCAGTGGCTGACGTTCATTGGCAACTGTCTCGTGTGGTATGTGCAGAGGCGGGAGCCCCAGTGGGTGTTGCTGGCAGTGATTATGATCGGTGGCTTCGGCCCACTGCAAGCAAGCTGAACCTTGCAGAGACACAGTGTTGCTACCTGGCCAGCAGTCCTCCCTTCTGGACAGCTCTCAGAGGAATTCCCAGGCTGGCTTCAGCCCTCCTGGAGGCTTCGCCAGGGGCGGGCTGGAAGTTTTCCTGGCTCAGAAAATTCCCACCTGGACAGAGTGCTGTCAGTGGGGGTCTGAATGCCATCAGCAGGAAGCCTCTGGAAGGACCTTGGCCTCCAGCCTGGATCTCCACCAAACCCTCCATTGTGAGAGCCAGGTCTTTGAGAACCACCAGGAGGCTCCTAAATTCAAACTGGCCCTTAATTAAACCTATCACTCAGGTGTAACAATATTCATTTTCTACATCGGGCCAGTTTTCTAGAGGTATATATTGATGTAAAGGTATACAGATAAATATATGGAGATAGACGCACATGCAAACACACACACACATATATATATATATACACATACACACAAATGACATAAAGCATGCATGAAGACATTGAACATATATGCTTTATAAGTTTTCCTTGTTTATGAAGTGAGGGTGGTGACGGCACCCACTTCCCAGTGTTGCTGGGCAGACCAGGCGTGGGCACAGTGAGTGGCATGGTAGATACTCTGAAAAAGTTGAGTGTTATTAATAGTTAATCCTTATTTATAGCTGATTTCCAGCTTCACCATGGGCTTGGTGCCTTCCCCATATGATTTCAATTATTCATTAATAGAGGTCTTAACCTGTCAGCTATGGAGAAACTGGAGGTGGAGAAAGAGTCCCGAAGCGCTGAAACTGGCTTGGGAAGTCAGGCGCATTAAAGCAGCTCTTCTGGTGCGGTGGGTAGAGCACTCAGCTGCTGAGGTCAAGGTGTGGCCAGGGGGGAAGATTTCAAATCCAAGTCTATTCTATACACTCTTTCACCAGGCCTTCCACAGGACAAGAAGGTCTGCAGGACACAATTGTCTGGATGAGGAAAGCGTTCAGCATGCACACAGTGCAGAGGCCAGGGGATCCCGAGGATCCCAACTGCGGTTTTCCTAGATTCTCCCAGAGCAGAGGCATCTTCCGAAGGTCATGGTGGGTGGTCAGGTCTCACTGTCAGAAGGAGGACTACAGGAGCAGGAGAAGGGCTGTGGTGGGGGTGTCTTTACAACGGTAGGTGCAAAGGTTGTCATCGTTCTGGGGTTTTTATCCTCTGGGTTATGGGGCCGTCCAAGTGTGACTCAAGTTGACATTCCGACAGGATGCTGAGACAGTCATGGGGACCCCCGATTGCTCATGTAAATCAGATAGCCTGTTTGCCTGTGAGCACTTGCTGCCTCCACTACGTTTAACTACATACTTCCTGAGGGCGGACGGCCCCTCCCTGGGGGTGTGGGGGGCCTTGTTGCAGACTTGTTCAAGTGCAGCCCCTCACCCACCCCCAGTCACTGCCACTGCCATGGTCCAAGACTTTCAGGCAGAAAGAACTTCTAGTGTAGAAGAATGTTCTGCTGTTTCAGCTTATGCCCTAGCATTTTTTCACAGGTAAATCATCACACCGCGAGGGTCTAAGAATTCCTATGGACCAGGAACCTTCCTCCCTCCCGCTTCTGCAGAAAAATGTCTGGGATTCTTTCCCGTGCAGAATGTGCAGAGATGCTCAAGCAGAGGCTAACCCTCTGGGGACTGAAGCCCAGCGGGGGTCAAGTGGGTGGGAGGCAGGAGGAACCAGGTGCCGCCCCCGCCCGCCTGCGTGCTGTTCCTTTAAGGCCCACTGGGGGCGGGATGTCAGAGGCCTGCGGGCACTCGGAGAGCTGAGCGCTCCAGCCGGTCGTCGGGAGACCGGCTTGGGAGTGGGACTTGCAGGAGCCGCGCGCGGACCATGCCCGGCAGCCCCTGAGCGTGCGCTGACCCTGCCCGCTCCGGGACAGCGCGGCGGCGCGGTCATGGGCAGCTTCCAGCTGGAAGACTTCGCCGCGGGATGGATCGGAGGTGAGTGCGCTGAAGGGGCGCCCTCCCACCCCATCCCCTCCCCTCCCCAGCCCCCCTGCCGGCCCCAGGATCTGAGACCCCCAGAGACACCAGGCAGGGACTTGGCCAACAGTGCTCGGCGACGAGAGGCCGTGCGTCCCAAGCACTGGCACCACCCGCCCGGGCTCGGTGGGCGCTCCCCGTCTGTCCGAGGAGTCCTCCGGCGGGCAAGGCGTGTCCTCCTCGGGGTCCTCTTTGCTTGCCGCGGGAGCCCAACTTTGAGCGCGTCACCGCCATTCACCCAGAGCTTCTGATTTGTCCCAAAGTCGGGACCCGCGAGCGTGATCTGGTAATGATTAAACCGCCCCTTAGAGCGGGCGGCCAATGGAGCGTCCCGGCGCGCACACACCCTTTAGGGCCGGGCGCGCACCTGAATTGGGGGACCCGGCGGGCTGCAAGGAAGTGGTGCTTGGCTGCCCCCAAGAATGACCCGGCGGGAGGGAGCAGAGCTCCCGGACCGGGGTGTTTGCAGACAGCTCTCCTTAGGCGCTGCCCAGTCAGTTCGGACACATTATGGTAGAACAGCAGGAAACACTGCCTGGTCTCGCGCCATCGTCACAAGGGGTCCTAAGCCTCAGCCCTGTGTTGCAGCCGCTAGGGGCCTTCCTCTGAGGCCCTCCACCTGGGCCTGCTGCCTTGAGCCTGGGTGGGTTCGTCTGGGCAAAGTTTCTGTGTTCTTGCTTCTCCGCGCCTCGTCTTTCCAACGCTTCCATCCCTCTTCCTCTCCCCTCTCCGAGTCTTTGCTTATTCTAAAAGTGTATGTGACTGTCTGCTTGTGTGCGTGGGTTATCAGTCCTTTGGTCCCATTCAAGAGACTCGCAGAATAGGTATGCTAATAAATTCAGCCCCTCTGGACAGGGCGCTGGAGGTGGGGGATACTAGGGGGCCCTGGTGCTGGAGGCTGAGAGGTTGCACGTTGAGTGGTTGAGTTGGTTTGAACCTACCAGCCCTTTAAAGGGAGAAAGGTCAGGCTCTGCACAGTCTCTGATCCCCACGGATCCCTGGGAGTCAGAATTGACTGGATGGTAGTGACTTTTAAGGTATGTGCTGCTCAGAGTCGTCTAGCTGCAGAAGAAGCCCCTGAGATTTGTGAGGTGGGGTGGGGCGGAACTATAGCAAGGAACTAGATAATATGGCAGGCTCTTCCCCTTGGATGCCCCTTCCCCTCTAGCAGTCATCTACCGTCCCCTC